TCCAGCCGAGCGATTCTGTGTGATTCTGTGTATGGAAGAGGATGGGTATTAAGTTGTGGAAGTGCTAGTCTTCCTAAGAGAGGTCACTTTTGGGGAATGATTAATTAGAATGCTAAGAATGGGGAACATAAGACCTAACTGGAGGGAGGGTAATCTTAGAAGTCTTCCTGCTAAGCAAGATAAGCCACCTTCCCGTAGACTTGTATACAGTTGCAGATGCCTGACATATGTCAAGAGTGATAGCCTGAGAGGGCTGTTCCTTTAGCTCAGAAGCCAGAACAGCTGAGCTTGTATCTACTGGCATGGTATCTTTCAGGCAAGCAGTACCTTGGAAGGTTGGGTCTTGAGGAAGGTGCGAGGGTTGTTTTTCTTTGCGAGATGATGAGTTCTCTCTTTATATAGCATGACAGCATCTGTTCCAGAGCAGTTAGGCAGTATAGGTTGAGTCTCTGCTGATGAGTTCCTGGTGAGATGCTGAGCATGTGTCATTAAAACATGGCAGTTGTGGTATCTCTGACAGGGGAGTTTGTTTTGGGAGTATTTGGAGTTTGTTTTCCTTGACATATAATATTAAGATACAGAATATTGCGGAAGTTTTTAAAGAAAGCAATAACTTTTCCTTGGTATGGCTTTTTCTGTTGTTATTTTGTCGTCGTTTTGTTTTTTTATTTAGTGTTAAATAGCTTTGCTAAGCAGGAGTTGCACTGCACGTTTTTCTGTGAAAAGCAGAGGCTAGCACTAACCTGTGTAGTCTTAGCTTCTTGGATTGAATTTGCAAGCTCACTTCATGATTTCTGCTCTTAATCTTCAGAGCTGCCATGGGAGGTTGTCTTAGATAAGTATACAAACTGAAACCATGCCTAGATGTATAGGACTTTGGTTGTTTTCTCTCCATTCCCATTGAAGATCGGTTCTTTCCGAGCACTGACATGACTGAAGATTTGTGATGACTGTCCTCAGTCTGCCGTAGTCTTGATGAATCCTGTGTTTTGGTTCAGGTTGTCCTCTGTCTTGAAATTTGTTCTTTCAATTAAGACAAGTGGTGTTTGCTTAATTGAGTGGTTTTAAAATATGCCCTGCTAACATGAAAAGGAGGTAGGGTAAGGTTAGACTCCTAATTTGTCCCGAATTTTCTCAGCACCACTTTATTGCTTAGTGCTGCTTGGGGTGGTGTCACGTAGAATCACTCCTGTATAGCAATCGTAATCCACCAGACTAGCTTTGCTAGTAGATTAGTATGCCGGGTGATGTCTCATACTGCTGTTGAATCAAAGAACTCATTTTGGTCTTATAATGAGATTTCCTTCATAAAACTAGTGAGGAACACAGCCTGGACTAAGAGTGATCCTTTCCTAGTTCTGATGTAGTTTTTGCCAAAGCTTCTGTCACGTCATGGCAGCTGTTGCTCTGCATGGCATGTGCTGCTTAGAAGCTGGCAGCCATTGTGCTCTTCCTACTCCAGTTGTATTTCTGTTTAAACTCTTTTCAAGGCTTCCACCTTTCTCCTTTTATTTAGAAGAGAGACTGCACCAGTCTGAGGGTAGCTAGTTTGTATAAGCATTCTTTCTGCTTTTTCTTAGAAGACTTCATCTCTCTTAGCTTTCACCATCCGAGTCGGGTGTATGAGGACTCTTGGTAGCAATAGCGGTGTTACAAACTGTCTAGTAAGCGGACAGCTCTCTTGCAGAGGTGTTATCTGATGCAATGTGTTTGATTCTAGTGCTCCTTGTGGTGGAAATCGAGACTTAGCAAGTTTTTAGTGAAGAGCAGACCGACAGGAACAAAAGGAAACAATCATTCTAGATTCTAATGTGAATTATACTTTATAAGATTTATGAAAACTGAAGGAAAGACTGGATTGAGGCATGTTGGAATTGAATACCAAAAGTACATAAGCGGTTAGATTTCTTGGGGTTTTGTGTCACTTTTTAGGTGTGATTGTGTATTGTTTTGAGGTTGGTTTGTTTGGTGTTTTGTTTTTTTTTTTGTATACAGGATGCTGTAATTTGAATAGGGGTTTTTTACCTTTATCTAATGTTATGTTCCACTTCATTCAACTGCAATGTTTCACAAGAATTCAGTTTTATTTCTTGTTTTCTGAACTTCCATAACTTCAGGCAAAGGAATTACTCTGGCTCTGTAGCCTGCAGTAAGTTTAATATCTGTAATTAGATAATTCAGACACTGAGATAAATCAGCTTTCTTCACATATGGCCAGCATATTCCACTGCAGTACTCAGCTTCCCATTCAGTCTCTCCACTGCCAGTTTGATCGTCCTGTAGCCAAGCCTGGCTGACATATTCATCTCCTTTCCTGCTTTTATCCCACATGCAGGCTGTTAACAAATCTGTCTTTCTGCTGCATCTCTGAAGTCTGTTTTCACTGCAGGATTGCTTTGGATGCCTTGACTTACTTTGACTACAACAGCAAACATTTCTTCCCTACCACCTTCCATTTCTTGTCAAATTACCGTCCTTTACTTGTTCTTAAATCTCACCTTTCAGTCAAATGGAAGCATCCTGGTTTTGCTTTCCAGACCTTTGTACAGTTAGGTATCAGTTACGTCTCCATGTTCCCTCCCTTCTTCTTCAGTGTCCTTCAGCTGGTTGTTTTTTCACTATGATCTTAATTTTTTCTAAGTAGCATCAAATTGCTTTCTTTTCTTTTGAATCCATCTCAAATCATGTTCTTGTAAAGCTGTTAAGTAATTTTCTGCCACCTTCAGTTTTCACTGTGTCCCATCTGAAGCATCATGCCTTCATCTGAACCGTGAGTTTTGCAGTTTCAAGAGCTAGAGGTAGACCTCTGCTGATACCTCAGTGGACTTGTGAGTTTGTGTTTCAAGTTGGTTGACTCGGATATACTTTCCTGCAGAGAAGACATCTTTGATAGTACTTGGTATAGTTGGGGGATGAAAAGCATTTGGGCTAGAGCAGCAACTTCACAGAAGCATTGAAAGAAAGCAAAGAAGTACCATTTTGCCTTGTGGTACCCAGGTGTTTCCACAGCAGTAGTAATAGGTTTGTTTTCAAACCTGACCATCATACAAAGTAGCATGGAAAGCATGGCTTCTTTACAGCAACCACAACAAATATATTAGATGCCTTGTGCAGTAACTTGAAAACTTGCTCTCAGAATTGTCACGTGCATCTTGTTGGAAAATAAGCAGTATAATTTCTTTGTTGTCCTTATGAACCAACTTGTGTGTTATTTTTCAGACACTTGGAAATGAAGTTAACGTGACGCTGTATTCGCCACCTTTGCCAGAGTTTGATTACAGTATGGTTGTAATCTTCCTAATTGCTGTGTTCACAGTAGCACTGGGAGGCTACTGGAGTGGAGTAGCAGAACTGTAAGTTTGTTAAGCGGAACCACTTAAATTATGTGGACTAGGAATTTTGTGAAAACTGTCATTATGATTAGTGAGGAATCATAGCTAGTGGCTAGTTAAAAAGTTAGAAGATCTAGGTGCAATTAGCTGCTTTGCCATGAAATGCTTGAGCGCTGCAGCCTTTGGAAAAAATCACCATAGGTTTTTGAAGAACCTTGAGTAGTAGATTGTGAAAGTCCCTGAGGAATAATGCAGCTCTTGGGAGGGGGAATGAGTTAACATTGTGACAAATTACCAAATACCCTATAACTAGCATCATCATACTCCCAATATCCATGATAGAAAGCAGGTATTTTAATGACACCTTTAAAATCCAATGATCCAAGAGGTACATATGTAGTTGTATGTAGTGTCTGCATTGGCCGGGGTCTGTACAACTGCTTCATCTCAGCAGGCTATGCAGCACCCTCGGGGATGTCTCTGCACCACACTGCTGTCACTAGGAGCACTGGGGAATGCAGGTTGGTTGTGTCTGGGTGACTCTGGACAGGTAAAGTCCAACCAGGCTTATGTGCTTCAGCTTTGTGGGTTATGTGGTAGAGCAACAGAGCCGGGGCAATAGCAGCTCCAGGGCCAGCCAGGGGCAAGGAGGCAGCAGCAATCCCTGTGCAAGGACAGAGAATGTGGCACATGCAGGGAAACAAGAGGGGGTTTCTGCACTGTGCTTGAGGGGCGTGCAGCTTTGTGGGGCAAGGAGGCAGCAGCAATCCCTGTGCAAGGACAGAGAATGTGGCACATGCAGGGAAACAAGAGGGGCAGTGGGGGTTTCTGCACTGTGCTCGAGGGGCGTACAGCTTTGTTTAGTGAAGTGAAGCACGATCTGGAGTTAAACTCAACATAGCTGACCTTTCAGAGCATGGTATTATTCTGCAGTATTTCTTGGATGTCTGCTTATGCTGAATGGGCCGGTGTGCGTTGCTACCTAGGGCTTCCCCATCTTCTGGTGCTTTGCTCCCCAGAACAACAGAGAGTGAACTGCATGTGGTAACAATGGCTTCTTCTTTCCCACTAGTTATGCAAATCGAATGATTTTAAAGAGATTAAACAAGTAGAAGGGGAGGGGGAATTTCTTTTCTTAAAAGGTTGGATCTGATTATTCTTTTTTACCCTGCAGTGCTATAGGGTGTGGCTGCACTGAGTGCTAAAACAACAAAATGTGATGCTGTCTCCCATATTGAAAAGTACCTGGATGTAATTATGTTAGACTTGTTAAAGCGCACTTTCATAAATCTAGGGTAGAGCTTTTTTTTAAAAAGCTGCTTATTCAAAGCATGTCCTCTGAGAAGGTGATTCATCTAACAAAGTGCCTTACTCCTGTGGGTTTTTCTCTTTTGAAGGTAGCTGTTTCAGTGCTGAATTCAGCATTTTGTAGGTAGGTCCTGGGATTTGTCAGGAACACGCTGTCTGATGGGCAAGTTGCACTAGTGTCTGTACTAAAGAGTAGTAGGGCTATCTGCTCAAAGAACAAACACAACAATTTAAGTCTCTTTATTTTGCATGGTGAGGTATAAATATGGAGTATGCATATACAGAAATCTTACTCCCAGTGAAAATCCCCAATTCCACCCCCTCTCTTTCACTCACTCTGTAATTATGAGATGTAAGGGTAGAAGAACGAGTACTTAGCTGGCTTCATTCTGCTAACATGAATGGGTTTTGCAGATACTTAATGTCTATAGTTGACGTTTTAAAATGGTGCATAATATGCATGATTTTGATTTATCATAGATTTATTTATCAGATGGGCTGCATTTGGCTCGAGAAACTTTGTAGTCAGAGGTGCTGCTCTATTATAGTTGAGCATATGCATCCTGAAAACTAGTTTGAGTTTTGTTATCAGACCGCTTTTCCTCATGTGACTCAAGTTAGGGGTACTCCTTAAAGCTGGCAATCACCACATAGCTGGAAAGGAGGGCAGTTAAGAATCTTTTCCTTGTGATCTGTGCTGGGTTAGAAGTGCGTATCTCCATGAAAAAATGGAGAGAAACTCAAACAATAGCATACCATTTTTCTGTGTTTTAAAGTCTAATAATGGTATGAAGGATTAGACCGAAAGGCTGTAAGTCTGAACACTTTATAACCAACAATTCTGGTCGTGGGACAATGTTTTCATAATCTGTCACCTGAGGTAAATGTGTTTCTTGTTTTCTTAAAACAGTGAGACTTTGAAAGCAATAGCAAGTCCTGAGGAGAGAGAAACAAGACGGAAGAAGGAAGAAAATGTTACTTTTACCCCTGTAACAGTTATCTTGTTTGTTGTCATCTGTTGTGTCATGTTGGTCTTACTTTACTTCTTCTACAAATGGTTAGGTAAGAATCAATGCGTAATCTCATTTGACTTATTTTTCTGCACTAGGTGGCTAAGTCTGAAAAGCTGGATTTCTAAACTAAAGTTAATGTAATTTTTAAAATTGTTCCTTCCATGTACAAGTTGAGGGTTGAAAAGATGCAGCTGCTACTTAAAAAAGACCGAAGCTTGCTTCTGCTCTCTTACAAAGGCTGCCTTGACAGTGCTTATTCTGAATGAAGTAATGTGGAGGAGAGGTGACGAGCAACTAGTAAAAAAACGTATATGACATATGTCAATGTTCTTGGGAGGGTGGCAGTGATAACTTAGGAGTGTTTAGAGTGAAAACTCTCTTCAGGTATTGTGATGTTGACATTGAGTTTGTGGCTGCAGTGCCCTAATTAAAGTACCAGGAGGAATGGCATTACCATAATGGAATAAACTCAAGCATGCTAGCCATAAGCTAAGTTCTTGAATTATACAATTCCAGTAAAATATGGTTTTCAACATATTGGTTGATTTTTGATTTTTTTTTTTCCCCCGTCCTCAAATCATGCTACCAGAAAACATACACCATTTTAAATTACTCTTTGTATTACAAACAATGTAACTTTCATTCTGAAAGCTTCCTACGTTCACTCCTTCCTAGAAGATGTTACCAGTTAACCTCCTGCTTCTGCGAAAGAAACTTCACCATCCAGACTTCCGATTTTCTTTAGCTTTTGTTATCTTGACTATGGGCAATGCTACCTTTACTAAACTTGTCCCACTAAAAGACTGGTGAACCTTTTAATGGGATCGAAAGGTTTAGGCCCCCTGTGTAGTCTGAGGTGGCTGGCTATAGTCTCCAGTGACTGCACCAAGCAGTGCTGTAACTGTTAACCGTTTATATCAAGCGCACATCGTTGTGTTTGATTCCTGTTTGCTATTTTTTCCTATTCTGTTTCGTCACTGACTCCCGTCTTCCATTCTTTTTATTTAGTGTATGTTATCATATCCATCTTCTGCTTGGCATCTGCAATGAGTCTATACAACTGTCTTGCGGCATTAATAGGAGAAATACCATTTGGGCAGTGCAGGTACTGTACACCTTGTCTGTTACTATAAATGTCATGTTTCTTTTGGGTGTTTTCTGGTTGTTATTCAAGGTAGTGTGAAAACACCAGAACAGTTTGACAAGTTGTATCCTCTATGGTTTAGTGTGTCGTATTGTTGCAAAATAAAATTACAAGCTCCTTTAATAGATATTAATGGTTACTGTAGCATAATCAATTACCTTTTTTTGAAGGCATCAAACTTGAAAGGGTCTGTTTGGCCGTCTGAGCTCAGTTGTACAAAATTCTGATTGCTTGGAAGGTGTGCCAGGTGATCCAGTAGCCCATCAAAGGTAGAGATCAGGTAGAAAAGATAACAGGTTTTGTGTAAGCTGCAGGACAGGCATAACTTCCGTTAGTTACTGTCAGTTCAAGAACTGTCCCAGAAAATTGAGTAAGCAGTGGAAACAGTTACTGGCTCACAACTTTGCAATACATAGTTATTCCATTTTTAATCTTGTATTATTTGTCCTAAAATTGAGTTTCCCTACCACCTCCCCCTTCTGGAATCATGACTTGACTGTCCCTCACTATCATCGTTCTATTGGCATCATTGTTATGTGACAGAAATGGATTAAATAAATTGGTCTGCTTGTGGCCTTCCCTGGATGTGTTTGCTAAAGTGAGGACTGGCCATCAAAGCCCAACTTGGCTGACAGTCTGTGGGAATGTTTCTAATGCAGCCCAGAGAAGGGCTGGTACTGCAGTTGCACGAGTAACGCCACCTGAGTCTGGACATCATAAACAGGCAAAGGAGAAGCTCTCAGGATGTGAACGCCTCGTCAGCTTGAGGGCCTGAGATAGCAGAGTCAATGTGTTTTGACTTTCTTTTTCTTAAATTTAATTATTTTCTTTTAGGATTGCATGTTGCAACAAAAGCATTGAAGTGAGACTTATTTTTCTTGCTGCATTCTGCATAGCAGCAGCTGTGGTCTGGGCAGTGTTTCGAAATGAAGATGGGTAAGTGGTGCATTCTGACTTGAAAGAGCAATGTGAATAATTGTCACTAATGAACTTCCCTTCATGTAACTAACCATGGAGCATAGCATCCTTCGAAACTCCAGTGCCAATTTCAAAGAAAGTCATGAAAGTATATATGAAGCTTAACAAGCATGGGAATAATAAAGAACAAAGCTATACAAATGAACTGTATGGTAATTTGCAGTTACAAAAAATTATGATGAGAGACAGCTAACTTGATTGCTAATGTCCTGCCACAGAGGAAAAAAGTGCAGAAAATAGCACAGGAACCAGAGGACCTATACTTCCTGTGGTCCAGTGGAAGCATTGGGCCACAAATACATAAATACTATGGCACAATCCTGAGTAGCATCTTGAGCCAGAGGTTAAGTGGGGCTTCCAATCAACAACACATGTTGAGCAAGTGAGCAATCATACAAATAAACACCAAGGCCATGTTATGGTTGTGTTCAACTTGTTTATGCTGTAGCACACAGATAAAGAACGGCTAACTGTGACCAGAGGTTAGTGTAAATTTACCAGCTTGAAACTGGTATTTTTGTGGTTTTCATAGCAGTATTTCCTAAAGACTAATTTCTCGCTTTCCAATCCATTTTGCAATCTTGCTATGCCCAGCAAAATCTAAAATCATCATTACACTTAGATTCTAGCAGTAGGTTGAACAATGTGTAAAAATGTGTTCTTATTTTTAGGTGGGCTTGGATTTTGCAAGATATTTTGGGAGTTGCTTTCTGCCTGAACTTTATTAAAACACTGAAAATGCCCAACTTTAAGGTACTGTCAGTTGCTTACCTTAAGAAAGCATTCTAATGCCATGAATCTGTAAGTTTATTGTCAGGAAGTAGATTTTTTTCATACTCAAGAGATACTTGAAAGATAGAGAATAAAAATGGGGGCTAGGGGGGGTGGTGGTCTTTTTTTAACCTGGTAATGCTGCAGTAATGGCACCAGAATCTACCTATGCAGTCTTTGAAAACCTATAGTAATACCTTGTTCTTTTTTTGCCAGTCCTGTGTGATCCTTCTAGGCCTTCTCCTTCTATACGATGTGTTTTTTGTCTTCATCACACCATTTATCACAAAGGTATGTCTGTGAATTTATCTTTAAAACAAAAGCAGAAATGTTGTCTGGTCATAGGGGCAGCAGTTTCTCAGAGTAGTGTTTTCTATGTTCTCAATGAAGGAATGCTTGCTTCCTTTTCCTTTTTTCCCCATTTAAGAAAGCAGTGGCCTAAATTTTCATCATATATGGGTTGCAGAGTGTGAGGCTTGTGCAGGTGCTGTAAATGTTAAATGGCCAAGTTTTCAGCAATTCTGTGACCAGAAGTAAGCTGTCCCCAATTGTGTGACAGGGTGATGATGAGAAATTACTGTTCTCCAGTTCTTCCTCCTTTTGCTATCAACTCCCATATTATGGAACATGCTCTAGTACTTTCTGCGGTGCTCATTTGCAGTGCAGTATAAACTGTATGCAAGCATACTTGCTTTTCTTTTGAAGCAGAAAGCTTCTGTCAGAAAAAGCTGACGTGTTTTTATCTAAACTTCCAGCTACGTCCAGTGGATTTGTTGTTTGTTTGGGGTTTTTTTTTTTTTAAACAATTATTTTAAGCTGGACTACATGTTTTTAACGTGAAACAATACGGTGTAATACTGTATGATACTAGTGCATTCCTTTGATATTCAGGATTTTTCCAGTCCTAAATAGTAAGATGAGGTACAAGCAGGTTTTGTAAATGTAGTATGAATGTTTTGATGTATTAAACCACTGACTTTTGAAAAATTTATTTCAGAATGGGGCAAGTATAATGGTTGAAGTTGCAGCTGGTCCTTTTGGAAACAGTGAAAAGGTATGAATAGTTGTCGTAATATGTGCAACATACAGATACTGACATTTCGTAGCTAATTCATAGTGTGCTTTTTGGCATAACTTTCTCACAAAATATAGCCGGCTTCTGCTATTTTCTTTTAAGTATTAAATACTTGTTGACTTGGGTTTGATCCTAGAATGATGAAAACTTGGTGGAAGTCCCTACTGAACGCTCAGCTCCCCATGAGAAAGTAAGGATTGTATTTCAGATACTGGATTTTTAAATTATTCCCTCTGAAAAGACTATTCTTTTGGGGAAAACCTGACTATCCAAATTTCTCTTCAGGGCCTGGATATCATTGATCAGTACTCTATAGCTAGGCTAATAATCCACACTTGTTATGCTCATTATATGTTTAAATACTGTTTTATCTTTTTTTTTTTAGTGTGTGCGTGTTATTTGTAAATCTGAAATTCCAGTGTACCTGATGCCTTAAACTTTATCCACTCTCTATGTTGTTTTCTGGTTTTTACTTTAGGTTCTACCTATTTTGAAGTTCTCCATTAACAATAAATTAATTGTATTAAAACTGTTTGTTAATTTAAGCACACGAACAAAAAAAATTCCAAAACACCAGGATGCTTTAGATTAGATTTATGTGGGCTTCTGAAACTGTTTTACAGTTACCTGTGGTTATTAGAGTGCCTAGACTTGAATACTCTGCATCGACACTGTGTGACATGCCATTTTCATTGCTGGGTTTTGGAGACATTATTGTCCCAGGTGAGCAAATGTTTTTGGCATTTGTAACTCATGATTAAATATTTTGGTTTTGATTCTCAGCTGACTTATATTAGAGTTTGTTCTACAAAGTAAATACTAAATCAAATACAGCAGTTTGCCTTGATCTGTCAGTGCGGAATACAACAAACACCACAACGTAAGAAAGCTTAGTGCGTTACAGAACACTCAAATAGCGAAGGGTTTCTGCTCTTCTGTGGCACCGTATTGTGTAAATACAAGTCCCACAGATAAATCCAGCTGTCAGTATTAACTCTCATCAAAATCTCACAGAAGGCAAGTCTTCTCTGACTTCACAGTATTTTCATAGCCTAGACTACCTAATTAGAGGTGTGGTAAAGGGAAATGTATTATCAAGTTCTTCCATCTTTCTTGGAAGAGCTGAATGTTGCCATAGTTCGAGTCTTGAGCAGATGATCGAAGTCGGGCACAAAGCAGCACCTCGTGAACAGCGTGCTCTCCCTCTTCCTGTTACTTGTACTGAGGCAAAATTGCCAGTTGTTAAGAGTGAGCATTAAAATCCTGTTGAAGAAAAGTGTTAGAACTAGGCTGTTACTCTTCTGTATTAGTGCCTTTAGAATTGAAAATACCATCATGCATGTAGCTTGCTTAAAAAAACCCAAAACCTTCTAATACCAAGCTCACTTGGCTCATATTTGCATTATGGTTTTGATTTTCAAGACTTACCATAGCATTTGTTAAACTGGTTCTTGACTTGCCAGAAATAAATGGAAAGAAGATAACGTGCATAAGATAACGTAATTGGAAGTCTTACTATAAAATCAGATTTTTCTTTTTGTTTCTGCTTTGATTTGGAGGATTGGAGAGGAAAAGACAAACAACCCATGGCTAATGTTTCATTAATCCTTTTTTTTTTCTTTTTCTTTTCCTTTCCCATCAAGGACTTCTGGTCGCCTATTGTCGAAGATTTGATGTTCAAACAAGTTCATCTTCTGTATACTTCATTTCCTGTACAATAGGTAAATCGTGTGATATTTCAGCAATGTTAATCTTCCTCTTAGCTCTTTTTTAAATGGCAGAACTAGATAGTTTCCTTTAGGTAAAGGTTCAGTGTTGTCAAGAATCTCTTCATAATATCTCTAATGTGCCTGCCCATATTTAAGGTGAGTATTCATCGTAGTCAGTTGCTTTGAGAAAGCTTGCAAATACAGAGCAACCTATTATAACTGAAGGGGGACATTAACAAGGAAGATAATACTTTTAAAAAAAAATAATAATTCTGGCCTACTAAATGAGTGACTTAATTTAAAAATTCGCCTGTTCTTGATTGCATATGTGTACATATCTTTTTATAGCTTATGCCATTGGTATGGTGCTGACTTTCGTTGTTTTGGCATTAATGAAGATGGGACAACCGGCCCTTCTCTATCTTGTACCATGTACACTCATTACTAGCTCTCTTGTTGCTTGGAGACGCAAAGAGATGAAGAAATTTTGGAAAGGAAGCAGTTACCAGGTAGGTTGGATGCCTTGAGTATTTTGTTGTCAATTCCTTTGAGTACATACCTCTCTAAGTACTTGGTAATATATTACACACAATCCAGTTTTTGCTAGTCTTCATGTCACCTTCTGGAACTGATAAGGAAAAACAGTTTTTACTGTTGGAAAACCTTAGTGTAGTAGTTGACATGGCAGAACAAAGCTGAAGTGAGATGAAATAGCTGTTTCAGTACCCATAGGAAAATGTCTGTCCCATTTCCTTTGAAATGGTTTTTCATGTTTTAACATTGTTCTACTGTCGTCTTGATGTGGTATCACGAGTCACTGAACTAAGCATGCAGATTCCAATCTGCACTAGCTCTGTGTTAAAAGACAGTTCAAAAAACTTGGTGTTCAATTAGAATTTTAGAAACTTTCCATGCCTCGCTGGTGTCCTGCATTGTCAGGATTATATGGAGCATTCGGCAACAAGTTAACTTTTCTATCACAGCACCCACTGTCTTGAGCATTCTACATTTCCCTTTTTGTTATCTCTAATGATATCCAGGAACTGCAGTCCTCAAAATCCCACCAGCTGTCTGCCTTTGATGTGCACGTTCCCCCTCATTTAACTTGCTGTAGTAACAGTAGCCCTTGTGAGCTGGCATTTATCATACGACAGACCAGTCTCAAGATTACTGTGAATTTTGTTTGAGACTTGAAGTCCAATATTGTTTGAATTCAGAAACTATCACCTGCATGCAGGCTGTGTTGAACCTGGCTCAGAGAGGAGACAGCCTGTTGCAGGGGGAGGTGGGTGACGTGCAGCTGATGGTGGAGAGGAGCAGCTCCTGCTTTTCCAGCTTCTGGGTTGTAAGGTTTAAGTGGATCAATGAAAGTGGTGATTCTTGTAAATGTAAAACTGCGGGCACAGAGCTCCTGTGGTATTGTCAGCTAAATGCTGCCTTTTGTTGAGCTAACCAATATTCTCTGCCTGCTTCAGCTGGAGGTTGGCTCGGTATGAAATTACCCAGGAGATCTTCAGCTTTAACTAGATACCTGGTCTTTTTCGCTACTAAACCAACTCTTCTCCTTTCATAGGTCCAGTGAATAGAAATGTTTCTCTGCAGATCAGAAAGAATTTGGCTTACCATGCATTTGTATATGAATTGGTGACTGCTTGCTCTTCTAAAATAAAGAGCCCAGTAACTCTGGGTCTGTTGGGAGGGGAAAAGCTTTGCAATTTATTTTCTTCAGTTGAGTTCTGAGTAAGATTTGCCTAAGTAAATCTGGCGTCTCTCTTTAGCAACAAAAAAGTCTTGTACTTCGTGTGGCAAAACTCATACTTGGAAGAATTATGTTGCCATAGTAGTTATTTCATCTCCTTTCAACTGGTTTCTTGAAGGATTAAAACTGCTCTGAACTTCAGCTTGTTCTGAGGTCAGATGACTTAATTTCTGCCACAATTTAAAATGTTGATTTCCACTCCCACTCCCCCACCCCTGAGTTAGACTTGTCTGTGACTGAACACCTCTGTGTAACTTTACTAATTCCTATTTTTCTATAACTGCCTGAAGAACCTTTTCTCTGTATTAATTTTTTTCCAGAAGGTGTTATTCAAGTTGCAGTCTCAGAATGCTGCAGAGTTGATCTTTCACATACGTTGCCTTCCCCACATAAAGCTGTAATTTGAACTGTCCTTACTGAACTTAAACGCACCCTTTCCCAAAAAAAATAAACAAACCACACAACCTCAGAGTTGAAATCTCCAGCTTTCAGTGCTCGTTCTGAGGAGGAGGGATACAGAAAGGTGCTAGACTGTTTTTTGCTGCAGCAGTGGTAATTTGGACTGGAGCAGAGCTGCCCCAGTGACACGGGTGGCCAGGCTTCTGTAGCAGTTTGCTGTGTCCTCCTGAGAACAGAGTAATCTTGCAGACTTGTTAGAGCAAAGTGTCCTAAGAACAGGGGTATAAGGACGTGTACAGTGTATCAGGTGCCTAGACTTCATGAATGCTGCTCTTTGTTTATAGTCTGTTAGTTAGCTTTGTTGAGTTTGGGGGTTTTCTGGGGTTTGTTGTATATTATTGTAATAATGGAATGAATTTTATTTAGGTATCGGACTCCTCCAGGACGCCTTTGCTACAAGGTGTGATTATGGCCTCCTTTTAATGCAACTTTATTAATCATCTTACGGTTTCCTTTTTCTTTTTTGCCCTCTGCTTCCTCTTTTAATTCTTTTCTGCGTCTCTCTTCTTTTTAATTTTTCTGTGTAATTCAATAGAAGAGGGTACAGGTGAAGATGAACCTGTTTGGTTTTTATGCTTGGGTGGTGGGTTTTTTCTGTTTTTAAAGGAATACAGGAAAATGTAATATAAAGTACCAATGGAGCCATGATTCCCAAGCTTGAAGGCAGGCTCTCTACTCTGTAACTTCCTAAACTCCTAGGAGTGTGTACGAATATTGAGAATTGTGTTAGTTCCTCTCTTGTTACCTGTATGGAAGTCCTTCACCTAATGTTTCTGTGCCACTGCATTGACGTGAAAACCTGCTTAAAGCTAAACAACGCTTTTGTTTTCCTCTGTTTATAATGTTCAGCATTATCATTTGCCTTTAGTGATCGTGTCTACAGTCCCTCTGTCATCTTACGACTCAAGAGTGTGCTTTACCCCACACTGTCTGTAGTGCCTCCAGTGCGGGAGCAAGGATTTGGGACCAGTTTTTGTGGTCTTGCTGCTGCACAGCCTCTGGACTGCAGCGAGGTTCAATCTTACTGGGCTATAGCTCACCACTGCTAACGCTGATGGTATTTATTTCAACTGTCCACTGTCTCACAGCATGAAATTTCAACTTCTTGCTGAATTTAGGCGTTTAAATATAATCTTGAATTCTAGCCGGCAGTGTAGTTATACATCTGTTTATAAAGCGTAGCGTGTCTGCCCTACACACTGAAGACAATTTGAACTCTGCTTGACTCTGTCTTGAATTCTGAACTAAAAAACTTCTCATTAGCTTCTTTCCTCTAATAAAGAGTACTTTAACATTTTTTAAGTCTCATTAAAAAGCCTTAATAATGAAATTATATACAATGCCAGTAAGAGGTTAGAAAGTGGGAAGGGTTGAAAGCAAATTGAAATCAAATGGCCAGGCTGTATTTTTACACACATCCTAAGTGTGCACTTAAGTTCTTGGTTAGGGTTATTCAAATCAGCTTTTCAGTTTCTACTTGATACATACGGGAAATACTTGACTCCCTAAGATAGCTCTGAGGGCCCACGATTCTTAGCCGAGGCATTTCTGTTTCTGCACAATGATGCAGTCTTAAATTCTAGCTACGCTGTGCATGGCTTTTTTATGGGGAAGTCATGAGCTGTAGTGAGCTGCTGGACAGGAAAACATCTTAACTGTTCAGTGAAGCACAGGGATCTCTTAGAAGAGTAACGTACTTACTTTCCTACGACCCAATGGGCAGTTTTGCTGCTGTGAAGTGTATAATAAAGGTTTTTCTAAGTTTTCTGGATTGCTTATACTCCTCATGTATGCTTGCATGATAAACTAATTTGATACTTGTTTCCCCGTTATTGATTTAGTTTAAAAACACTGGTTTTTTTGTATCAGTACAGTCTATGAAATAATTTTAGAAACAGCATGAAAAATTGAGTGGACTAATACAACTGTGAATGCTTCTTGATCCAACAGTCTTGCAGCTTTTTAGAGTCTGTCAGTTTGAAGTGTTTAGCAAGCTTTCTTGTCTCTCTGAAATAATAAATCACAGATTTGTCACTGATGCATTACGCAGCATGCACTTGCTGTTTCGTACTGTAATTTTAAATGACATTTTTAGATACTTGCAAATTAATCATAGCTATAAGGATGATGTGAATGCAACATCATCAGAATGAATCTTGCAGGCAAGTGTGTGCGGAAGTACAATGTGCCCTTTCACAAGTAGGAGTTTGCATTGCTGTTTCTAGTTTGGCGTGTGTGTGTGTGGATTTTTGGAGTTGGTTTTATTTTGGTTTTGTTTTCAATAGTTCACCATGTCAGGTGATAACTTTAACTAAAATACTTTTATATTTAACCTATCTTTATGCACTCCCCTCTCATTAAAAATTGTCAGGAATTCAGATGTGGGAGAAAAGCTTCTAAATCTCCTCCACTTTAACAATAATCACCAGCTCTCGCACGATGTATCGTCTGATTCCTTTGGCTGTTTCGGGGTTTGAAACAACTGACTTACCCAGGATTTTAGCATGGGGCCTTCATCTTGCTGCTGGTTGTGGTTATGATTCCCATAGCTTCTGCTGAGGCTTTGAGGATGGGGTTGTCCTGAGAACCTACAACTGAGATACACTTGCTGCTTTATGCAGTCTTGCACTTTTAGAAAGGCATCTGTTAGCCCACACTTGGGGCTGGGGACACCCTTCTTCTATGTGGTGGAGAGGTTAGAAGTGGAGTGGGGTGAGGTTTTTTGTTGTGGTGTTTTGTTGTTTGTTTTTTCTTTTCCTTGTAACATTTATGTATATAAAAAAAACCCCCAAACATCTTTTAAATGCTCTACTAGCCACTTTGGTTTTAAAGTTAACTTAAAAATCTGATCTATTAATCAGAGACTATGAAATTTAAATACAGGTGGTATCTCCAGCATAAGTTCATTTTGTGCTTCTTGCCTTGTGGTAGGATTAAGAGAAGAATCACTGACTTTGGGATACACTGACTTGTTAAAGATACTGTTAACTTCTCCTTGTGGAAGCATCTTCACAATTTAACAGGGAAGCATTTTACATAAGTGCTTACCAAAACTACCTTCTCTATGCCAGCTGTTAAATGATCCTCCCTAGGATGACAGAAGATACATGGCATTACTTGATGTAACGTGGTGTTGTGTCAGGGTTGCTGGGTTTCTTTTTCCCTAAATACTTTAATCCTCATTCAGAATGACAGTTTGACTTCTGGGATTGTAGGGAGTGTTTTGCTTTGGGTGACTTTTGATACGAGTTTTTGGTTGCAGTGCAGGGGGAAAGTTTTATCTAAATGAATGCAGGATTGTCATTAGCACAGGAGCTTGGTACCCACTGCTGGACTGAGTGTGCGCTATTGCTGTAACTCAGCTCTCGGTGTATTGGCAAGACTGGTGCCTGCCTTAATTCTCATTGTCTTAATGCTGACACATGGAGGGAGGGATGTGAAAGACCTTTTCTGGTTTTAGTGAGATTGATATTGTGGCCACTCAGCTCTCCTAAGCCATACCCAAGTCGCAGCAGCTCATTTCTGCCTCGGAAGTGTCATTTCAGCTTACTGCACAGCGTGTTGGTGCGTTTAGACTGGGAAACAGCTTGTTTAAGCAAACCTGCTTTTAATAAGGTATGTTTGTATACCTTGCAATGAAACAGTTCTGCTGGCATAAAAGGTATGGCACTAGAGAAAAAGAGAGAAGTGAATGGAGCTGCTCTCTTTGCCCTATATATATGGAACTATGCCACACTAAAATGTGTGTGACCCAACCATGTTGGAGCCTGAGTTTGTCTTGCTACGGATCTGCCCAGTTTAGAATCAGTGCGGTCAGCAGCCGTTTTACAGAAAGACAGGGAGCCACCTTATGACTGGGCAGGATGGGATATACCACTATGGAGTAACATCTGTAGGGTTTTCAACCTTTTGATGCTGAAAGCAATTAAGCTCTTGTCCTAACGATCCTGCCATGCTGGGCCTATGAGCTCCTTGACACGGTCTGTTTTTCAGTATTTTACTACTTCTCTATCTTCAGTCAGCCGTCCAAACTGTCCAGTACTTGGCCTCTTGGTAATTATGCTTAATTTTGAAAGTTGGTCTCAATTTGTCATGCTAACAAATGTGTGTATTACCTCTGCAATTTACTCAATGCCTTGTGCCAGGGAAGAAACCAGAGCCTTCATTGCCCTCTAGCAATACAGTAGTGGATAGGGAAATGGGCTCCTTTTTAGTCAGGAAGAGCACTTGTGTTATTCAGGTGACCTAATAAGTTATATTAACTCGAAAGTAGTCAGTCTACATAACAGTCTGGTTTAGATTCTCTTCTGTTGCAGGACTTCACAGTTCCATTTCCTTTATCCTTTTACAAAGAAAATTTTCCAAGAAGTGTTGCCAGCACAGTTAGTTTTTAGTAACTGTGACTTAGCCTTTACAGTCCTGAAAAGAGAAAGCCAGCCTCTCCTGTTTAAGCTGTCACTTGCTACCTGTCCATGTTAGGTAGGTCCTAGGGTCTGTTTCCAGTTCTGCAAACCATGTCTTTGAAAAACCTGCGTAACCAACCCTAATCTTTTTATTGTATGTTTGTTAGGGGTGTTTGTTTGTTTGTACTCTGTATTTAATACTTGAGACACTTTTGACTCCTAAGTTTAATTTCTTGTAGAGGACTTGGATCCTTGGTTGGAGAATGCTTTTGTAGTGGAAAGCATTAGCTAAGAGAGCTTAGATTATCTGGCTTGAATGCTTTTCTGATCTATAGAGGACTTCCTACCTGTATGCTGCTAAAGTGCACTCTAACACATATTTAATTATATTTATCTTAGCTAATAAACACTTTGGACCAGTGGGGGGAAAGCAGTATTTCTTTATTAAAAGAGCTTTTTTTTCTTCTTCTATTTGTTTCTGTGTTTAGATGATGGAACACCTGGATTATACAGGAAATGAAGAAAGCACAGCATCAGCCAGTGAACAGCCTGGAGGACAATAGCATGTGGGATCCTGATTTAAAATAGTATTCAAATTTTCTACAAACGAATTACAGTAAATTTGGTGAAGTTCTACAATAGAGTATTTCCTACTCTGTGTAAAAGGGTTTTTTAACTCCTGCACCTATATTTTTATGGAAAATATTGTTAATAACATAAAAGTAATCAAAATAGACTTGCAGTTTTTTACAGCCAAGCCATAGCTGGTAAGTCTGTGCCTTATTTTGATTTAAATAAAAGGATATTTTCTATGCAGTTTTCCAAATGTGTTTCTATACAGTATATTTTTATAAAAATTGCTTGCCCATATCAGTTTGGTGCATGAATGTTTTAATTTTGATTACGACTAGTCAAGTTTTGTTAAAAAGTACAGTACCCTTCATGGGATTTCTTTCCAGGTTTTGAATGCAAAGATTGATAGTAATGTAATTATAGCAACTAAAGAATGAAACTGTAATTCCATTACTACAAGGAATTGAATGAACAGTGTGAATGTTAGTCTGTGTACATTGCAAGCCATAAAATATATGTAACAGGGCAAATTTAGCTTGAGGTGTGAGCTCTTCTCTTTGTTTTTCTTTTTTTATCCCCCCCCATAGTATCACCGGCTTATGCCTTAATTGTGAAAATTGCTAAGCTTTGGTGCAAGTCTTTGAACTGTACGCATTGCCAGTCATTTCGACAAGAATAAAAGGGGGGCGCTACTTACACAGTGGTCCTGGCAACTTGGGTGCAGCTCCTGGAACAGCTGACAAACAAGATGGTGCGAAAGGCAAGAGGGTGTTTGCTCCAGAAGTGCTATCTGGGGGAGCGGCTGAAATGCTGCTTCTGGCCTGGTTCTTCTACCCATTGAGACCAGGTCTATATTTGCGGTCTTCATTTGGCTGTGGGTCAGTTCAAAGGAATGGGGGAAGACGGGACAGGGTTGGGGTTTTTTTGCTTTTACATCTACACCATATTTTAAAAAAAAAAACCAACCCCAAACCAACGCTGTTTTTGAAGATTCTTTGCAATTGATAGACAAAACAACAGGTTTGGATAGCGCTAGTAGTGCCTGTGTTAGCTAAGGCCGATGCATGTGTTTAACTTGTTTAATCTTAATTTGTTTTAGCTTTTGAAGACTTGGAAAAGGAGGAATAGTTTAAATCATTAGTTTGCATTTAGAAGAGTTTGAGTTAGTCTGATACTTTCTCTTTTTTTCAGGAAACTGCAAATTGAGGGAGATAGAGATTGAGGCATAGAAAATTTGTATAGCTGTAATGTTAACACTTTACACCAAAGAAAATTGGAGAAGGCAACAATAGGAAACCACTGAGTTCACTTAGTGCTAATGACAGGTCGTTGTTAAAACATTTTTCCTATTCTTTAAATGAATGTCATTCCTATAGTCAGTACAAGTTCAAGAACCCTGGAGAAAACAACTGAATGAGCACATGCTGGGCAATGGCAGTGCAGGCTTCCCTGCAGTGCCTCACGTAAGTGCCTCAGTGTTTGCCTGAAGGTCCCTTGACATTTATAGTGTGGGGCACGTTGGCTCAGGAAAACTTACCCAGATTAAACGTAGTTTAGCGAGATTTACTTCGGAAGTATGCTAATTAAGACAATTGTAAATCTGCATTGGCAGTTAACAAGGGCTTTTTCTGCAAATTCGCTGCTTGATGTAATTTATATCAAGTTTAAACTTCTGTTCCTAAGAGTCAGGAGCAGACAAACTTACAGCCTGAGTATCAGTTCTTGCTGTTCACACAAACTGACCGTGGTACCAGTTGATATGGGTAAGATAACCACCTTGTTTGCAACTTCCCTAAGAAAGCAGAGATTACAGAAAACAGTTTTCGTATGTTAGTCATAGCCCCTCTTGGCTTTCTTGATGTAAGCTTGAACTGTCAGCCTCAATACACAATGATCATGTTCAATTTTATTGACTGGCATTTAATAATAAATTACAGCATACCTCAGCGTTCCAACAGCAGACTGAAAACTTGTCCTCTGCCGTGGTGGTGTGCCCTTTGGCAAGCTCAGTATCTGCCAACGTTAAATAGTCCTGAAGCAGTTTCTGAAAACTCCTCAGAGAGATAAAGAAGTCATAGCTCGTTCAAAGTCATGCACTACTCAGAGCTCTCAGCAGCTTCACAAATCTATGTAATCTGACTCCTTTTTCTCTTTGAAATCTTCTGCATGGAGGGTGTATTACATTTTCAACTGTCAATGATAATGCAATCAGTATAAATGGAGACGACCTTTGGCAAGTGTATTCAGTGTATTCAGCAGCTCGCTGTGGAAGCTCTGTCTTGTTCTGTGCCTAATTATGCTTCATGCCTGACCACGCCTGAGGTTTCACACACGTGCTGCAGTTTAACGGGATCTAAACTAACTTTTTTCTCTAAAATGCTTAGGTGCTTTGTTTACAAAATTTAAGAATGGAGTTTAAAATTTTTTATGAATAATAGGTTAGTACTGACTACTGAAATGGAGGTTTTATAAGTTCAGTAGAACTGACTGCAACACTTTTAGCGATTTTGAATGTTTTTAATATTTGGTTGGGCTAAACATTCTGTTAAAAGCCTTTTTAGTCATACTTTAATACAAAAATCTTACTACCTTTTCATTGTATGTTTACTGACAACAGTCCCCTTCCTTACGACTCTTTAAGTTATCTCTTTAAGAATGTTATTAATAAATGTTACTTGGAAAAAAAATAGTTGAGTAATTGCTTTGTTCTGACTCATCTTCTTCTTACTGTAAGCGTTCAAGGCAAAACACTTAACACTTCATAATGCCAAGTAAATTAAAAATGCATTATACACCCCCATAAATACATAGTTTCAGTTTTTATCCATCCTGCCTGATGTTTCAAAGTTATGATTCTGTTTGTAAATACCAGTGTGGTGGTTTTGGTGGGTTATTTCTTGTTTGGGTGGGTTTTTCCTTCTTTTCTTTTTGCAGGGACGAGTGGAAGTGAATTAAGTTCTGTGATTTGAACTACATCAATGTCACTGGTCTTAACTCAGCTTGTGGCACGTTAAGTCACGGGGCACTGTGAAAGTATACCTGACAAACAGTGAGTTAGAAATTTAACATCTGCAAACTTCCTGATGGTAACAAGCTTTGTTCAACCCAATGTACTTAACCTTAGATGTAAGGGGCAAGAAAAGAAACTAAGCTTCAGTCTTGAAACCCAGGCTGGGTTGGAAGTGTTCACTGAATGTTGAATACACTTGATAGGTGATCCTTGAGACATCCCTAGAACCCTACGTTTGTATTTAACGTGGTTTTAAGTATTTTAAGCCTCTTCTGCTCATACACTGGAGGGTATTAATCCACGGTAATTGAGATTTGCAGGGTTTCTTTTCTTAACTGGGAGGAAACTCCAAAATGCTCTTTGAATGGACTTATTTTTAAAGGTAGAGAAGTTGGGAAGAACAGACATAGCTGCATTTGTTTTTCACTGTTCCCCATGCATTCTGTCGTTAAGGCTGGTACATTTGACACTTGAATAAAACTGCAAATCTCAGAGGCTTCAAAATTGCAAGCAGAAGAGAGGCATTTACTTCTAAGGAAGACAGTCACCATTATTAGTTAACAAGTTTAGATCGGTCCAGTCTTTACGCTGGTTGCCCAGGGAGGCTGTGGAGTCTCCATCCTTGGAGATACTCAAAATGCAATTGGACGCAGGCCTGGCAGTCACTCTGAGCAGGGGCCTGGACTAGGCAATCTACAGAGCAGCATTCCAGCTGTACTGCTATAATTATTAAGGCATTTTTCAGCTCATTTTCCAGCTTGAATAATCTGCAATTTTCTTGTTGTCTTCGGATTTGTAATGCTTTCTGAAGCATTTCAGGCACTGTTTTTATTTTCATGTAGCCTGTATAGCACATTTTACTGCGTGAACGATTAAATTTTTGAGGAAAGGAGGAGGGGAGCAACTAAGACTGCTGTCCCTTTTGTCAGAAGTGAGTGATCAAAGTTCAAGGTTTTGTGTTCCTGAGAGAGGCTGATGATGGAGGCTCAGCTATCTCAGGAATCCCTCTTATTTATAAAGAATGTGCAAGATCCTGTTTTCCTGAACACAGAGGGCATCAAATAGCTGAGAATAGGGGTTTTTGCTTGCTTTAAAAGACCTTTTAACCAAGAAAGTGTTCAGCTCTAAGAGCTTCCTTTCAGCTTTTTCCTAGGAGTGTGCTCGCAGGTATTCTGCTGTCTGGTTTTCTGTTCCCTCTCCTTACTTGTGCACATACCTCCTTTCTTCCCCCCTCATCTATTTGGGGCAATACCAGCATGTTTTGAAGTGTCTTTGCACACTGCTTTGTCTTGGACAAGAATATGTGCCTTTGTTCAAGTACAGAGACCAGCGTTTATGAGGAGGTTGAATGTTTTGGACTTGAAACAAACAGCAGTTACGCTCACCAGCTCAATCCACCAGTAAACAGTAACTTAAAACAACAGCTTATCTTGTGCACATCCTTATCTGTGTTGCAGTCCCACTGACTTTCTGAGGTTGCATTAATGTTGGTGCAACAGCCTGGCTTAGATTTGAAAAACAAAAATAGGAAGTTTTTTACACTTCTGTCGGAGGCTGAAATGCCCTTGTGCTGGCTCTCTGTGTTTTGCAGAAAGGCTACCAGAATATTATCAACTTCTGTATTGTACATGCTTGGGAATACAAGGAATTACAAGAGGTATTGGTTTAACTGAATTACTTTAATTTCAAGCTTTGTTGTGATGTGTCCCTAATAAAGCTACAAGAAAAGTGGGGTCCTTTTAATTAAAAGGTTTCTTCCAAAAGATAATGGAGACTATGCTGCAAAATTGTTCCATCCTTGTGGATTTAAGGCACCTACCTGCAAAAAAGTAGCAAACGGGTATTTCTCTGGTAGGTGAGTATTTCTCTGGTAGCTGATTTAAAAAATAATTTTACATCATAATATCAATGGAAAAAAGGGCAAATACATGCCCACTGGTACCTTTTTCTCTTAAGAAATAAAAGGACCAGTAAGCCTCTGCTGGATGAAGTGACACTTTTGTCAGGGTCACTGTCAAATAAGAATTGAAAGTTGGATGACTCAGACCAGTCCTGTACAGGCTCACCTCAAATTTTACCTTTTGATTATGAGGTACCTGTCCCTGAATCTTAACAAAACAAAACAAAAACAGAGCTCTGTAAGGATATCTGTGAATTTGTCTCTGATTTCTACAATTCAGGAAGCAGTTGGTGTGACCTGCTGCCTGACGACACAGAGAAGCTGCACCACTGG